GATGCAATCTTGGCTCACTGCAACATCCGCCTCCCAGGTCCAAGCAATTCTCCTGCCTCAGCCTCCTGAGTAGCTGGGATTATAGGCATGCACCACCATGCCTAGCTAATTTTGTTTTTTTAGTATTGATGGGGTTTCTCCATGTTGGTCAGGCTGGGCTCAAACTCCTGACCTCAGGTGATCTTCCTGCCTCAGCCTCCCAAACTGTTGGGATTACAGGCTCGAGCCGTGACACCTGGCATTGCTCTTAAACAGCAGTTTAAGGAGACAAGAAAATTCTAGGTTTTCATTGTGCCACCACACACGACTAATTTTTGTATTTTAGTAGAGACAGGGTTTCGCCACGTTGGCCAGGCTGGTCTCGAACTCCTGACCTCAAGGTGATCCACCCACCTTGGCCTCCCAAAATGCTGGGATTACAGGCATAAACCACCATACCCAGCTGATTTCTTCTTAGCACTTTGAAGCCATCCCTTCGTTGTTCTCTGGCATCTGCTGTTGTAGAAGAGAAATCTGCTGTCAATCTTCTTATCACTTTGGATTTTTTTTTTCCCCTGTGATAGTTTTAGGATTGTTTATTTTTAAGATTTTGCTGTATCTAGGTGTGAGTTAATACTCATCTTGCATGGCACTTGAGTGTACTTCCAAACTGTAGACTCCTATCTTCCTTCAATTACAGGAGAGAAAAGAGCCATTTTACTCTTAAATATTGATTCTCCTGTATTCTGTCCTTTTTTCTGGAGTGCCTGTTGGATATATCTTGGAATCTCTCACTTATCCTTCTTATTGATTAACTGATATTTTATTTAAAAAAAACTATTTGTCTCTGTTTATTTTATGTTCCTTGAGTAAGTTCCTTAATATTTTCTAGCTTACCAGTTCTCTCCTGATTGTGCCCAGGCTGGAGTTTGTCCCATCTATTGGGTTTTTCATTTTTATGACTATATAATGCTTTTTGTTTCTAATGTTTTATATCTGTCTTTAACATTTTTGTTCTTTTGTATAATTGCTTACTCTTTATTAATAGAAGTTATTCCTTTATCATTTTAAAAATATCTTAAACACATTAGAAAGTCTTTATTATATTGTTTCATAAAATTATTTTCACTAGAAGTGAATTCACGTTACGTAATTTTGTTGACTGTCTTTCTTGGTGTTATATTTTATTCATGTGCCTTAGAATTTAGATCTAGGATGAAGTTTAATTTTGTGGGGAGTGTCTTTTTGTCACTTTTAACTTCTCTTTTAACCTCTTTTGTGCTCACATCTGTCTAGTGTTTGTGGCTTCTTCCACTCAGCTTCCCAAGGCCCCAGTACAGAACCGTGGTTTCTGTTCTTTGGTGATATTGGGGATATCTGGATCCAGCCACAGAGCTGGGGCTTGGGGGAGGGAGTATAATTTGACTGATTCTTTGTTCTTCAGTCTCCTTGGGCCTGCAGATTGCCACATGCGGTAGCATCAGACAGGGGTTTGCATCTGAATATGTTTTTCCAGCCTTATTTGCTTTCCCACCCCCAGCTGTAAGCAGAACTTGAACACAGACTGTGGTCTCATGGAGCGCTTTTAGATCCCTCTGCACTCAGCAGGAACCAGACTGCTGGCTCTTACAGCCTATGTGCGAGCAAGAAGCCCAGCAGGCCCGAGGCTTCAACCTTGTTCATCACATTGTGTTTCTATTCATTTTCAGGTTCACAAAAATGTTTATTCTGTTTTTGAGCATTGCTTATCTTTCTGGTTTTCTTTTTTTTTGATATTTAGTCTATCCTTGCTATGTATTCAAAGCATAGGGAGTGCATACTTTGGTATTTAATCTATCCTTGCTGTGTGTTCAGAGCATGGGGAGTGCATCAGAGTTGAATTTAAATAGTCATTTTCACCAGAAGTAGAAGCTTGAGTATTTATATTTAGCTTCCAGCACCTAAATAACCCTGTAACCCTGGAATGAGGCCAGGTGCCCTGTAGGAATCATGTCTATCTTTTTTATCTTTCTATCAAAAGTACCTGTCATGTCCCTGCACATAGTAGATGCTCAACAAACAATATTTGTTCATTGACCTCTGAAATATAATTGAGTGGCTTAAACAGCTAATGCTATATCTGTATTTATACTTACGGTATCAAACAGCTAACATCACTGGGAAATTCAAGAACAGCAGAAAGGAATGATATGACTCTTGCCTGTGACTCCTATTGAAAATGATCCTGTATGTTGTCTCTTCAAACAAGATATATTCATGTCAATAGTTTCTGTTCTTGAAAGTAGAAACATTACTCCTTCTATTAGACATTTTGCTTTCTGAAAATAGAACAAGTAAAACCTGAACAAGTGAGAACTGGCTCGAGTTAAAGAGATTTCAGGTCCAACTCTCCAAGCCAAAGGGATTTTCAAATGGTTATTTTAAAATGTGAATCTACATGTGGGCTTCTGTGGTTTCAGCAGTTAATAGGAAATGGCAGCCCACTGTATCAGTCAGCTTTTGCTGTATAACACACCATCCCAAAACACAGCGACTTAAGACAAAAAATGTTCATTTAGTTTATGATCCTGTGGGTCAGCAGTTTGGGCTGGGGGTACTGATTGGATGGGCTGGTGTGGCTGTTCCCTGCTGGGCTCACTCACCTGTTGCTGGTCAGCTGCCAGGTGAGCTGATGGCTTGATGGTCCTAGGCTGCTCAGGTGCGATGGCTGATCTCTGATCCACGTGGTCTTTTATTCTCCAACAAGACAGCCCAGACTTAGTCAGGTGGAAATGGTGACAGTGGACCCCAGAGAGGGAGCAGAAGTATCTGTAGAGCCTCTTGGTAAGTACTGATTGGGACTTTATAGCTATACAGTGTGGTTTACACTCTTCTATCCACCCAAGCAAGTCGCAGGGTGGAAAGATAGATTTAACTTCTTGATAGGCGGAGCTGCAAAACCTGTAGCCACTTTTGCCATCTACCATGGCAACAAAATGTGGAGGCCCCACTCCCTACCCCAGGAGAGATTGTGTAACTTTCCTTAGATTCTCAGACTATTATCTTCAAAGTTGAGAATCAATATGTTCAATGATTTCACTACTGAACAACAACGAAAATGTTTGGGAGAGCTAACTGATGGATACATCTGTTACAACACTGCTTGGTGTGTGGAAATGAGATTTTTGAATTTTCCTATTGAAAGTTATGCCTTGTATCAAGGCATTAGGGTAAGTCTGACTTTTGTACTCAGCCTGAAAAGTAAGGATTCTTGTCTAGTGTACCAGATAACTTCTGTTATGTGGCAAACCACCCCAAAATTCAGTGGTTTAAAGCAACACTGTTTATTGGACTCCCGTTTCTGTGCCTCATCAGGTGGGGCTGGTCGCAGCTGGGTGTCTCTGATTCTGGGGATGGACTGGTTGTCTCCTTGCTGGGTGTCTGGGCCACTTGTTTCTCTCCATTCAGTAAATTAGTCTGGGCTTATTCACAGGGTAACAACGGTGTTTCAAGAGAGTGGGTGGAAGCACACAATATCTATTATTGCCTAGCAAGGCTTGTTTCTACGGGGTCAAAACAAGTCACAAGCCCAGCCCAGATTCACTAGGTAGGGAGATAGACTCCAGCTCTAGCTGGGAGGAACTGCAGAGACTCAGGACAGGGAGGATGGAGAACCACGGCCATTTCATAGTCTTCTATATCTGTTCTCTTCAAGAAATTCCTTCTCACACTTCAAATTTAAGTTAAATACTGTCTCCACTTAGATTCTTCCTATCAAATTGTAATACAGCATGTGTAACAGTAGTAGCTACTACACTTGTTTGAAACAACCTGCAGTCTTTTCACCATTAATTGACGGCACCTCCCTTACTATGGATTCGCATATTCATATTACTATTTTAAAGGCATAAACAGATGTTAATGTATTTTTCTAAAGAAAATGACTAAACATATTTTCTTCTTCCAGTTTGTCTTCCTCGTTGTTTAATCCAACTGAATTGGTGCCAGACTTACTTTTCTAAAGGGTTTCTCTAACTGTGTTTGATGAAGACTCTTTAGGGATCTCTCACTCATACCCTTTAGCTTGGCATTTGAGAATCTGTGTGCTCTGGGCATTGCCTAACTTTCAGATTTTATTTTCCTCCATTCTTCCTTGCACTAGTTTTCACAGTTAAACACCATTTATTGCTGTCTTTTGAACACATTGGCCGTATACAAATTGTCCTCAGCTCTTGGGCAACATTTTTGGTTGTTACAACTGTGTGTGTGTGTGTGTGTGTGTGTGTGTGTGTGTGTGTCCATGCATGCAGTACTAGCCTTTAGCAAGTAGAGACGGGGCTGCTGCTAAACATCTTGCAGTGCACAGGACAGCCCCCACAACAGAGAATTATCTCCTATAAATATCAGTAGAGCTGAGGCTGAGAAAACCTGTCCTATCCATTCCTGCCTCTGGCTCTTTTTGTTCATGGCCCCTCATCCCAGAAGGCCTTGCCTTCAGTGCTGCCCGATGAAATGTTCCCTGTCCTTAAAAAGCCAGCTCAAATGCCACATCTTCTGGAAAACAGATCCTGCATGAACCCACTCCCAGTGCTGTGGACTCTCAGAGTTCACTCTGTGCATCACTGAAATGCCTACCACTTAGTGCATTTACAATAATTTGTATCTAGCACTGTTAGTTTTCAGTGATTCTTATTGTTCCTTCCTTGTTTTTTAGTTGAATGTTTGTGTGTTGACTCTTTGGCTGAACTGTGTTTCTTGATGACAAGTATCTCTCTTGTCTTTGTCTTACAGCACTTACCATGTGTTTTACATATAGTAGGTGCATAATAAACATCTATTGACTGCATGAGAAATGTATGTCTTCCTGTGCCTTTAGATATGGTCACCCCGGGGGTCCAACAATTTTCTTAAAGGACTTAGTTCAAAAAAATCCAACAAGTTGAATCCAAGTTTTTTTTGTTTCTGTTTTTGTTTTTAATAATTTAGGTCAAAAACGGTGATAAATCATTGTACAACGCAATTATTTATGTTTATTTCTGCAGCTGTTTAGTGAAAAAATAAGTGGTGCTGAAGGAACTAAACTAGACGATGAATTTCTTGACATGGAAAGGGTAAGAGAGCATTTTAATATGTAAATTGATTAGAAACTGACTTTCATTGTGATATGAGATATACTGCTATTGTAAAGAATATTCGAGTGGAAATCTAGGATGTTTAAATATAGATGTGGATTATGCAATCCACAAGGCAGTGCTTTCTGACATCCCAGCCCAAATCAGATCCTCCCCCTGTAGCCACATCTAGCCTGGGCAAGTGGAGTGAGATCGATGTAGCTAACTGGTTCCCTCTAGTGGCCAGAAGTCAGAATGTGCAAAAGATGGGCAATCTTGGCAGTAATTGCAAGGCCAAAGTAATTGGTAGTGCATGTTTTGGATAATCAAAATGTGTTTCTGGAACAAGATTTTTCAAATGCATAATGATTTATTCACCATGTGGAAGACTGAGGCTCTGTTCCTATGTGTTGCAGGAGCTGCATAATAAATAACTTTTCTCCTGGTTCTGCCATTAGAACTAGCGGTGTGAACTTGGATAAGTTAATTTATCTTTTTGAACTGATACAGGGATAAGTGAGCCCTGCTTGCCTCACGTGGATGTTGTGAGAATAATGCAAACATTAACGTATTTGAAATAACTTAGAAAAAATATGACTGGCTTAGAACAGAAAAATGGTATCATCTCTGTCTCTTAACATGTTTCCCAGTCAGCTGTGTGGAGTTGCTGATGTGCATGTAGAACTAGAACCACCAGCATTAACAAGATACTGTTTCTTTCCTCATTGTCTGGGCCTTTTAAACATAGCCTTGTTTTAATAATTAGACCCTCCCAGAGGAGAGAGGGAGGAAATGAAGCAAGGCATCCACCCTCAGGTGCAACATCAAGGCAGGTAGCAGAGATGTCAACAGGTGCTGGGGAAGGAAGTTCAGCCCCAGGCTGTGTACAGCCTGGGAGAGTATCTCATCAGGATACCTTGGCTCTGGCCAGCTCATCTTCCAGGGAGTTCTCTGTTTTCTGGATGAGAGCTATTAAGTGTCTAGAAATGTTAATACCTTTAGGAGGAAAAGCTTATTTTGTTTTTGCTTTTGAAAAAGACTTAATTTCTGAATCTTAAATCCATAGAAACATGTTCACACCATTAACATACTTTAAATTACTTAAGAAAGTCCTAACATACAAAGATGTGATGTGTAGCTTTGTTACTAACAAAATGATCCAGTTGAAATGTTAAATTTGAAAGCATTTTTCAAGAGTTTTAGTGTCAGTTGATGGATTGAGATCCTTCTTGCTTACCTCCTTTTCCCTCTAAAAACCCCAGTGAGTTACAGAAAAAAATATAAAGTCTATTATCTGTTTTATTACAGCATCGAAAAGCATGGAAACATATAATACATGACCAGAAGTTTTAAAAACCTTCCAGGAGTGATGCATTAGATGGTATTAGACCCACGTAAAACATGATACAGAAATGAGAAAGTAATAGGAAAATATATTCTATAATAAATGTTAACCATATAAAAATAGAGGAACAATAGTAAAATCAAAATAAAATTTGATGCAAGAGAAGCACTAAATGAAAAAAGCTTTTTAATTATAAAAAGATACAGTCAATGTAGTCTATCAGGAAATTATAATAGTTTTGAACCATTCTGCACTACATAACATAGCATCTGAATTTGTAAGGTAGGAGCTGTGAGAAATACATGGATAGTTGTTAAAAATAGAAGTACTGTAGACTTCACATACCTCTCTCATAAAATAGATTAAACTGACAATAATCAATAGGCTCATGGAGGATTTGCATTGAATATGATTAATAACTTTGATTATAAATAAATATAAATATCTGCATCCCCCAAATGGATAATGTGCATTGTTTTTTCAAATTCCTTTGGAACAAATAAAGTAATGAATTATGTACTAGGTTACAGAAAAAAAACTCAATAAAAATTTTCCAAAGTGATACTATAGAACACAAGAATTATAAGGGAAGGTATAGCTTTGGAAATTTAAAAATATATAAAAATAATTCTTAGTTTAAAGAGCAAATGGAAAGTAAAATGACATTATTTAGGCACCAGTGGCAATTCTGTATGTCAAAACCTGTAATATGTGGCTAAATTTTAAATGTATTTAAAGAAAATAAATGTTGGGAGAAAATGAATAAATCATGCAATCCAAGAAGCAAGGAAAATAACAGCAAATTAAATTACTCTAGGTAGAAGACAGAAATCAATATAAATTAAAGACAGATTAATAAAATAGAAAACAACCACAAAAAGATAGAAACAATAAAACCAAGAGCTTTCGAAAACCTGAAAAACCTCTACCAAGTTTGACCAAGAGGGAGAAAAAGGAAAAACACAAATTACTTAAGGAAGAAGAAAGGGGATATGCCCACTGATAGTATTTTTTTTAAAAAGAATACCATAAATAAGCATCAGAGATGAGAGGTGCTAGCCGCTCTCTCACGCAGGGGCTGGGCCTAAGGGAGTCAGTGGCACAGGCTTTGGACGCCTCATGGGCAGGGTGCCAGCATTAAACAGAAATTCCAGACTTAACTAACCAGGATGCCTCCATACCAGGTTGACTTCACAAAAATAATTTTCACCATTCTGCTTTTCTCTGTTTTTCTTAATGGTTTGGCAAGATAGTTGCATAGCATTTTGTTGACTTGAAAACACACACACACACACACACACACACACACACACACACACACACACACACTAGTGTCCCTGGTTATTCTCGAGGGAGATTTTGTTTGTTAAGCTGCATGAGTTTTTGTTTGCTTTGTTGTTGTTGTTTTTTGATGCTCATCTTGACTGTCCACATTAGCCAACATGTTTACTCTTCAGTTTGTAAACGGTTTATTTCTAGCTCTGATGCTTGGGCTGGTGGGTGGCAGCCCCAGTGTGTCCATGCCAGGGCCTATGAGGACTTGTAAGTTTTTGGTCATTTGTTTCTTGGGCTTTTTTGTTTCAAAAGTTATAAAAACATCTGAAGTAGAAAATGCCCCCACTCTAATTCTCTCATCATCATCATCATTATTCCGAGGTGACCCTTAGCTTTCTGGTGACTTTTCATGTCCAAAAGGGTTGTATATATCAAAGGGAACACCCTAAGTTTTGTTTTACAATGTAACAAATTAGATATTAATTAAATCTAAAATCCTCATTCTTCTTAAGCTTTAAGCTGAACTTATGAATCTTATTTCCAAATTTAGTACTTTTGCTATGATAATCTTATAGTTAATTTTCATTTGAGGTTGCGTTAATTAACCCATAAGCTTAACAGTTTCAATCCTTAAATATTTACCACCCATTATATAATTAAGCAAATTCTCTTAGACATTTCAAACTGTAATCGTAAAGGCAATGTGTAGGATTCCCTCCAACTTCACATCAAATCTATAACAGTATTTTCCTAAGCCCTTATATTTCTTGTAACTCTAATTAAGATATAAACATTTAGGTTATTGGATTCTCTTAAATATTCCAAAGATCTTGGCAAACAGCTGAACACACCAAAGAAAGCTCAAAGTCACAAAACTTGTTACTAGGCCAAACGCACACACACATGCCCACTTGCACACACAGCACACGAGTATCAGTAATACAGGTTTGACTCCTTTTTTTTTTTTCTTTATCATTTCTGTACTGTCTTTTAAAACTTTCCTGGGGCTCCAAATTAATGTATTTAGCCAAAATTAATGTATTTAGCTAAGGGGAACAAATACCATTTCAGGGTGGACAAGATTGCTTTGTTGCAAACTTGTGACCCTGGCCAGATCATAGTTTTCTAAATTACAAAAATGTTGTCTTTATTATAAATCGCCCCGCAGCTTGCTTTCTTCCTTAGCAATGTACTTTGAATATCGATCTTCCTTATTTTTTTTCCTTATGATTAAAGAGTATTCCTTTACTTGGATGTTTCATAATTTATCCATTCAGTCTCCTATTGATTTCCATTTTCAGTATTACATAAAATGGCCTAATGAACATGTTTTTCCCTTCACTGCAATTTGCTGATGTGTTTCTAAAAGGATAAATCCTTAGAAATATAATAGCTGGCTCATTAATATGCCTATTAATAAGAACTTCTGCCTTGATCTCCAAAACCTATCCTTTTGCATTCCTGTTGTATATGAAATGACCCATTACTCCATACCCATATAATACCTGATATTGGGTATAATTGATTTTTAAAATGTTTTAACAATATGGAGAGTGTAAAATATCTCCTTTTTATTTACAGTTGTGAATATTTTTTCAAATCTTTGTAGGTAGCTTGTGTTTTTCCTCTTGCTCTGTTGCCCAGGCTGGAGTGCAGTGGCACAATCTCGGCTCACTGCAACCTCCGCCTCCTGGGTTCAAGCAATTCTCCCACCTCAGCCTCTTGAGTAGCTGAGATTATAGTCACCTGCCAACCTGGTCTTGACCTCAAGTGACCCACCCACCTCAGTCTCCCAAAGTGCTGAGATTAAAGGCGTGTGCCACCTTGCCCGGCCTTTTCCTTCTTTCTTATTTGTTTAAATGGGAATTTTGAATATTAGAGATACTAACCCTTTGTCTTTATATATTTTTGTTGGCCACTTTTGTCAAACTTCATGTGCTGTGTCTTTTTCTGTTCAGTTGTTAAGCTTTTATGGAGTAAGAATTTTGGTCTTTTTATTTATGACATTTGAGTTTCAGGTCCCGGTTAGAAGTTTCTTCCTACTCCAGTGTTTCAAAATACTGTCCTTTATATGTTAGTCATTTTATAGTCTTTTTTTTTGATTGATATTTTTAATCATGTATATAATGTGAAAAATCACTTTACTATCAATTTGCCAAATTGTAACAAAAAATAAAAAAGTTGAAATTATGATGGGATTTGAATGAATTTTGCATCTTAATTTGGGGAGAATGCATATCTTTCCAAAATTGAGTTTTCCCATCTAAGAATGTGGTTTTTCAAATAGGTGTTGTGAATGTCCCATAATAGTTATTCCTTGTTATTGCATTTTATTGCTTTTATGAATAATATCTTTTTCTTTACATTTTCTCCTGGACTACTGATGGTATAAATAAAGCTATTGCAACTTGCATTTTAATTTTATTGTCTATTCCCATATTAGCTCTCTGGTTAACTAACAACCACAAAGTCCAGGAATGGTTTTGCACAAGGAAAGATTCAGTCTTAACTAGAAAGGGTTAACTTTCAGGGAAGGTTTGGGGAGAACTTTGATGTTAACATCTTCTGACCATAGCACAAATGAATATGTTTATTGTATTATAATATTAATGATTATGATTCTTTTATTGATTACTGAGCTAGTTGCCAATATGAATCATTATTATAGCATCCTTATATAAGTATAGAAATTCAAGTTCACCTATCAAAAGGAGAGTTTGATTCATGTCTAGTCTTAGCTTTGAGAGACTTCCAAGTATATCTAATCATCTAATGGAGCATAATAACTTTTGCAGATTTTCTAAATATTACCTTAATATTCATTTTAATGTTAAAAGGAAAAGTAAATTAATGTTCTCCAGCATCACTGGAAGGAGGTGATGTTCCAAAATCAAAAACTGAAAAAATGTTGCCTCTCCCAAAAATGTTGAAAACATTCATTTGGATAAAATCATCATAGTGGTGTTATAAGAATTAAATTAATTAAAATTACTCCTCTGTTTGTTCTTCTGCGAATTTTTTGAGTTTGTCATTTACTAATGTTTTAAAAATTTTGCTTTTAAGAAAATAGATGTTACCAATAAAGCTGTTGCAGAAATTCTTTCAAAAACCACTGAATATCTTCAGCCAAATCCAGGTAAAGTTGAAATATTCTCTTGTTTATTTGCTGTCACAGACCCTAATAACCCATGTTTACTTGGTGTTTAGTTGACATAATCTAGAAACAATGTCCTCTGTGTCCCAGTAATGAAATTCAGTTTTTAAAGCTGAGTCTCTAGTGACCAAAGGTAGTTGCGTTCAGTCCTACTGATGAGAAACAGAACAACTATTTCTGTGAACTTCGGTTGACATCATCCGAATGGAGTTCTGGTCATAGCAACAAGGCAGCGCTGGGCAAGGGTTTTTTATGAGTTACTTCAGAAAGCCACTAAACATTTGGCAAATATTTTCTTACTCCCTTATATCCTCTTTATAATTTTTTTTTAATTCTGCTTTTGTGTACCATATACATAGAAGTATATGTTAATTTGAAAGAGCGTTCTCTTCATGGCTCAAATGCTGGAGAAAGAAGGTGTGGTAAATATGAAAGATGGTGTGCGTCGAGTGTCACATCAGCTTCTCCACAGAAGGTCTGGGTTTCTAGGTCCCCAAGCAGCATCTTGGGGACTTAGATGTTTTCCCAAGTTGTAAATTATAGGAACCAGTAGAGGGCGCCTAAGCCTTGAGTTCTGTAGATTTCTGAAGCTGACTTTCCTTTTTAGAAATTTATTATTTGCATGGAGTTCCTGTGATTCCCTTGGCTGTAGGAATCAGCACAAACCTAACCATTTGAAAATTGAGAAAGTAAAAATTTAAGAATATAAATTTTATCAGATGTATCCAGGCAGGTTCATTACAGTTGCATTGATGATGATAGCTTTGAAAACCATAAGAATGTATCTTGTCCCTGGCTGCTCAGTGATTGAAATGAGCCATGCCAGTTTCTTTTCCTGATATGTCAGTCAGTCAAATATTTAATAAGTGCTTTCTCTGCACAAGAGGATTTTGGGGTGCTGGAATACACTATGAAGTCAGACAGATACTCCACCCTCAACCATCTGACCCTTGAATGAGATAAGGAGGTGTTGGCCAGCAATAAAAGTGTCCAGTGGCCAGAGGTCTCTAGTTATTCCTAGAGAAGAGGCAGCCCTAGCAACCTCTTACCCAGTTTAATAGCTCTCATCTACATTCCTCTGCATCCCATATCCCCCTCCGACAGTGGGAAGTAGACTGTGAGCTCCTTGAGAGCAAAGGCTGTCTCTGGAGTCCCAGTAATAAGCAAGTGTGTTGTTGCAGCAATGAGTAAATACTCATTGCCTGAGTCAGAGGAAGTAAAAGAAGGTAAGACAGTGATGCCTGTCACCTCCTTAGGGAGCGGGGGCTGAGCTGCACCTGGGACCAGCCACACAAGGCTAGTGTTCACTAGGGGTGGTGGGGGGGGTTCTGTTTCTTCCTATGGTTCTGCCTCCTAAACAGCAGCACCTGCCTCCCATAATTCTGAATACCATTAGGCTGAATCAGTCCTTGGGAAGAGCAAAAGAGTGATCAGTTGGTTGTTTGAAACATCCTCCTCGGCAATTCTGTTTTTGTTTACATTTAAAGAAAAAGCATGTTGGTGTCACGTAGGGTCAGTGTCTGACTTCACGTGTTAGCAATTGCAAGCTTTCCAAAGGGTCTCACTTGAGGGGTGGTGCTCAGAAAAGCCCGGGTCACTATTATTTGAAGTCAGCAATGTGCGCCATCATTTCTGTGGTTCATGATGGCTGTGCAACAGGGCACTTAGCCACCCACCTTGGTAAAGAACCTAGAAAATTACATGGGAAAATTAACTAGTTCACACACGTTCGTTTCAGGCCTTGGGTTGCTGGCATTTTGTTTAAGGTGATCTCAGTTTTGGCAGCTGCGCTTGTTAAATGCTATGTACCTGCCACTCCATCTTGTAACTTTAAAGAATTACAAATGACAATGTTTTTAAGCATACAGAGCTAAGCTAGGAATGCTGAACACTGTGTCGAAGATCCGAGGGCAGGTGAAGACCACGGGATACCCGCAGACAGAAGGCTTGCTGGGGGACTGTATGCTGAAATATGGGAAGGAGCTCGGGGAAGACTCCACCTTTGGTGAGTTATGCAGAGATCACCTGGGGGAGCTGAGAACTCCTCCAGTATGCTTTTAGGTTATGCACAAACCCTTTAGTTTAACAACCTTTGTTATTTTTCCACATTACCAAAGTAATACATGTTAAATGGCAGGAGGTTTAGAAAAGATAGGTAAGTAAAATGAAGAAAAATACTAACATCACCTGTAATCCCATATCCACTGATTGGCCTAATTAAACTCTGTTGTGTGTCTTTTTTTTTTTTTTGAGACCAGGTCTTTTCCCACGCTGGAGTACAGTGGCATGATCTTGGCTGACTACAACCTCCGCCTCCCAGGTTCAAACAATTCTTGTGCCTCAGCCTTCTGAGTAGCTGAGATTACAGGCTCAAGCCACCATGCCTGGTTAATTTTTTGTATTTTTAAGAGAGACAGGGTTTCGCCATAATGCCAGGCTGGTTTTGAACTCCTAACCTCAAGCAAGCTGCCCACCTTGGCCTCCCAAAGTGCTGGGATTATAGGAGTAAGCCACAGCACTTGGCCTGTTGTGTATCTTTTATACCTTGTTTATTTTTATTATATGTATTCACATGTACTTTTAAAAACGACAATAAGGCCGGGCGCGGTGGCTCACACCTGTAATCCCAGCACTTTGGGAGGCCGAGGCAGGTGGATCATGAGGTCAAGAGATCGAGACCATCCTGGCCAACATGGTGAAATCCCATCTCTACTCAAATACAAAAATTAGCTTGGCATGGTGGCACATGCCTGTAGTACCAGCTACTTGGGAGGCTGGGGCAGGAGAATTGCTTGAACCTAGGAGGTGGAGGTTGCAGTGAGCCGAGATCACACCAGTGCACTCCAGCCTGGCACTTGGTGACAGAGCAGGACTCTGTCTCAAAAAAAAAAAAAAAAGACAATAAGGGCATAGTACATATACTCTTTGGTAACACTGACTATATCATGATCCATAATCATAAAATAATTCATATCATAAAATAATCTATGATATTGTTTTTAGCGGCTACATAATATTCCGTGTGTCATAGTTTGTTCAGTCAATCTCATTTACTAAATAAATTTTTCTTTATGTAAAAACATTTTACATAGCATTTATAATAACCATTTCCATAGGTAGATCTTTGGGGATATCCAAAATGATATTCTTTGACATAATTTAGAAAAAATGCCTAGTATAAAATTCCTGAGTCAAGAGCATGCTCATTTTTCAGGTTTTGAAAGCATATTCGTAGCTCACCCTTCAGAAGGGTTCCACCCTTTTGACACTGTTGCCAGGAGTGAGTGAGAGTATGTTTCTCAATACAGTTCATGACCCCAGGGATTATCTTTCTAGTTTACTTTTAAATAACTGATCATTTGATATGTAGTGTATAAAAATGATATCTCATTGCCGTTTTGGATCACATGTGAGGTAGAGTTATTTTGTGTGTTTGTCATTGGTTTTGTGAATCGTGTGTTTGTGTCCTTGGCCTGCTTTTGCATTAGGAGGTCAATTTCTTTCCTTCCTGTCTCATGAAGTCTTTAAATGGTCAGGATATTTGCTCATTGACTGTCTTGTATGTTGACGAAGTTTTGTCCCAGGTAAGCATTTACCCCTGGACCTTGTTTATGAAGGTCATTTCAATGGAGAGAGATTTTTATTTTTTATTTAGCGAAGCTCTTTAGTCTTCCTTTATGGTTTCTAGCTTTTTGGAATCATATTTAGAAAATCTTTTTCATTCCACTCCCTGGCAAAGGTTATAAATGTTTATTTATGCTTGTTTTTGAATCCTGGATTTTCTTAACTTTAAATTTCCAAGCTCCTGCATTTATTGGAGCTATAGTGCAATCGGGTTCTAATTTTGTTTTCTGACAAATAAATAGCTTGTTCCAGTACTTTATGGAAAAGTCCAACTTTCTCCTGATGTTTTGAAATGATTCTTTTATTATAGACTAAATTTTTATACATTAAGCTTGTTTATGGTCTTTCTCTTTTGTTTATTGATCTATATCCTGTTTTGATTCAGCGTCATGTTGTTTTAAGCATTGAAGTTTTAAAACATACTTTAATATATTTTACTAAAAATTTAGGTATTTTATTGTAAAAAGTTTACAGACACACTTACTGGTTTTATTTTTCCAGGTGAAACTTAAGTCCCTGCTATTTAAAAAAGTCATTAAATTTTGACTGAGATTCATTTAAATTAATACATTAAATTGAGGATGAATTGGATTTAATGTATTAGGTATTCCAAACGAATTTGGCATATTTGCTATTCAAGTAGTAGTAACAAGGCAGGAGATGGAAGTTGAGAAATCAAATATTTGGCCACAGTAATCATTCTAGGAAATTGGAGAAAAATATCTTTTGAAAAAAATTTTAAAATTCAAGCATCCAAACATTAATTAGTGACAAAGGGTAACATTAACCCTTAGAGCAGTATAATATGAATTTTATTTTCATTCCAAGGGCCAATGGGGACGAGATGGCCTATTTCTTACTCTGAAGGCACATCAGTGAAGGAGACAGGTGAGACTGCCAGGCAGGCCTTGAAATCCAAGGACGTTCCTGCTGTGCACCTGGCCTTAGTGACAGCCAGACAGTTTGGTAGCTTCCCAGGTGCCCAGCAACCTAAAGGAACTCAGGTTAAGGAAGAGAACTGATGTCAGCAGGGCATCAAGAACACATAGACTTCTGCTGTTCCAAGGAAGAGGCTGTGCCTTTGGATGTTTTCTTTTGGGTGGCCACATGCTAGGACCTCCTACAGTGCAGAAACCTCAGTGGGTGGAAGCTGAGCCCCAGACCCGTGTGGAATTTGACAGCACCAGTCTCGGACAAGGAGAGGGAATGTCAGATTTAGGGAGGTGGCCCCTGCGCAGAGTGTCATCTTTGGAGTCTCCAACATATGAAAATATTTCTGTCATTGACATTGTGAGGCATTGGCACTGGTGGCAGAGGGGCTGGATTGGGGGGTCAAGCAATACCATTTCTCACCATTTGGGCAGGAAAAGAGTCCACAGGCTAGGAAGGGACATTTCGTCTTCATTTAGGAATGATTTAGAAACACACTTTGGAGAGTTGAGCTAAGGAAATTTAGCTTCCAAGGAGGAATGAAGCTACCACTGGGTCTGAATGGAGTCCTGAGAAAGCCTTAGTTTAGAGTAACGGTTCCGACTTCTGTTTTGCAAGGTCCTATCTATCTAGTATGTTTCTGGTTTTTTTTATTTTGTTTTGTTTTTTTACTGAGTGTTGCTCTGTCGCCCAGGCTAGAGTGCAGTGGTGTGATCTCAGCTCACTGCAACCTCTGCCTCCCAGGATCAAGCGATTCTCCTGCCTCAGCCTCCCCAATAGCTGGGATTACAGGCACACACCACCACACCTAGCTAAGTTCTGTATTTTTAGTAGAAATGGGGTTTCAGCATGTTAGTCAGGCTGAGCTCAAACTCCTGACTTCATGACCTGCCCACCTCAGCCTCCCAAAGTTCTGGGATTACAGGTGTGAGCCTCCGCGCCCGGCCGCCATCTCTGTTTTACAGGGGAATACGTTATCCGTGCCCTCGACTGATGGGGGAAACAACTCAAAGGTCAGATTTAGGCTGGGCTTTAAGATCTCCTTCAAGCCTAGAAATTGAGCAACCTCAATCTCCATCTTTTTACAAGATCAATTTGGAAAACCCCAAATATAGGAAAAATAGTTCATTCTAGTCCAGTGTTTGCCAGGCATGTTTTCTAGAGACCCTGCAACCCTCATTGTACAGAGAACTAGAGGGCACCTGGTTTGCAATAATCTTGCAAATTACTATAGATTGACTGGACTGAGATACCATGCTGTAATCCAGGAAAAACTGCCTGTCACTATCCAAGCCAGAAAGGCTGGCCTGGGCCCCAGTGCACCACCAGACCCCCACCCCACCCTGCTGACAGGATGTCCCATGTGACATCAGCAGGCTTTCTTTGACATCAAGAGAAGGCAGGGAGCCTTAGAACCTTCTAGAAGGATACAGGGAGTAGCCTTGAGAAGATCTCACAGCTAGAAGCTGAGATGTTTTATTTGTTTATTTCTATTGTAATCTTTATTGGTTAACACTTAGTCCCATGAGTGAATCTTTTCATTGTTTACAAAGAGATTTATTCTCGAGCTTCCAAGGAACCCTCCGTGCCAGTTTCCCAAAGTACCAGTTTTTTGAAAAGGATCTTTATCTCCATCTAGTGGCCCAAATGGTAAGTACTTCGGTCTGCCCGCCTCAGCTGTATTTGCTGTGGTGGCGAAGTGCAGAACATAGAGAGGAAAACGCAGAAAATAGGAAGCCTTGCCTTTTCTTTTTCATTCTGATCCAGGATTCAGAGGCCCTGCAGCAAGGACCTTGCTACACCATCATCCACAGACTTTTGGTAAATAATGAAATAAATAGCACTGTTAACCTGGAGTAGTCTCCCGAAGAACCTTTTGTATTTGTGTTTTCTATTCAAGGCAATGCATTGATAGAAGTTGGTGAATCCATGAAGCTAATGGCTGAGGTGAAAGACTCTCTTGATATTAATGTAAAGCAAACTTTTATTGATCCACTTCAGTTACTACAAGATAAAGATTTAAAAGAGATTGGGGTAAGTCTTCCAGGATATAAATATATCTGTTGCAAAATGATGTTTGTATTTAAAATCATTAGAACGTTTCAACAGGGACTCGCTGATGGAATCATCTTATGATACTTGTAGGTAGGGTAAAAATAACTCAGTTTTATTTTCCTGGGTTCACTGGAAAGGAGTGCCAGGATCCATTAGCCCTATCTACCCTGGAGATAGGGCAGGATAATGGGACGGGATGTAAGCCATATTCTTCCAGCTGGAAATTCTGTATCTAGTTGAAGCCAGCTCAAAGCCAGGCTAAATATCCATATTTCTGCACCATTTATCACATAAAGTAATTGTATAACTTTGTAGTTGATTTTTTTATTATCAAAATCATACCATAGTTGCAAGTTTTGATGTGTTGCCCTGGTGGTCATTACTTTCCATTACTTCTCAAGAAAATCAATACCTAGAAATTGAATGTTTCATTTGGAAAACTGTTAAAAATGGCTTGTACGGGAACTTTCAGGTACCTGGAAGTAACTGCATACCACTTACGTGGTGGCATTTTTGTAGATGTGCAAAAACAGCCCCGAGACTTCTGCACAACCAGGGACTTCTCTGGAGGTACAAGCACTCTCTTATGGATATGCACAGAAGATGTCCTCCAGGTGCCCTCCAGCATGTCTGAGGGCAGCCTGGGACAGCTTGGAGGCCATTTGGGCCTTGCGCGTATCCTGTTTTCCCTTCTTCAGACCTATTGATTCTCAAAGTATGGTCCCTGGACCAGCAACATCAACATCACTTGTGAAAAATGCAAATTCTTGGGCCCCATCCCTTACCTCCTGAATCAGAAATCTTGAGGGTGAAGCCCAGCAAGTCTGTGTTTTATAAAGTCCTCCAGGTGATTCGGAGCCATGCTAATGTTCAAAAACCACTGTTCCAGCCCATCCTTTCCAGACTGGGAGTCTGGGGTGTGCAAATGGGGAGAAAGCACAAAGCAAAGCGTCACCAGGGAGCTGGAAATAATTCAGTGAGGCTGGGTGGAGTTCATGTGCTGAAGGGGTAGCAATAAGGCCACAGAGGAAAGGAGGGGTCAGGCCGTGAAGGGCTGAGGGGCTGCATCTTCACTCCACTGCCTGTGGGCAGCCAGGACGGTTTGCAGATCAGGAAGGGCGCCCTAGCTGTGGGCTGGAGAATGGACAGGAGGGAGTGCGATGTGATGCCAGTGGTCAAGAGCGGTCTTTGTCCTTTCACCCCTTCTCCTGGCCGAGTCACCTCACTCCCCAGCCCAGATATGCTTTCCTTTGGGAAGCTGTTTGTTCTTTTCCTAGACTCCATGGGGTGCCCCTTCTGTGCCGCCTGCACCATGAGCACTCTTGCTTACTTTTTGCTCATGTTGGGCGGCCCATTCCTTGGGGTGAGGCATTGGGGTTTGTTCGTTGATGTAACCACAAGCCTGCCACGTGGTTTGTGCTTACACATTATTTTAATTTTAATTTTTGTGGGTATGTCGTAGGTGTATATGTTGGTGGGGTATAGGAGATGTTTTTATAAATTATTTTTGAATGGCTGATCCTAGAAGTGATAGTCTGGGTTCTGGGGATGCCAAAACATCTCCCCCAAATGCCTCCTTTGCTGACATCTAGCAAGTTTCATTTCTTGTGCTGTCATCGTGGAGGAAGGTCATAAGAAAAGTCAGCACTGCTCCTTCACCTGGCCAGCCACAGACACATATGTGGTCCTGAGTAGTAAGTGGGTGAAATGTGTATAATATACTTATACTGGAATGTTGCAGTTCCCTATGCAACAAAATAATTTTCTAAATGCCATCTTGTTACTCAGCTGCTGTTTGATGTAGAACTGTACATCTAAACTTAAATCATGTGGATGATGGAAAGCGAAGAGTCCAAGGTTTAGGACGCCTTTCACAGTCTCAGCTATGCCCTGTGTGCCTCAGAAATCAGGGGTTGGGAGCCTGTTTATTTGACACATGGCTGACTTTCAGATGTCTGTGTAGAGGTACAGAGGGATTAGGGACCAGCCCAAAGTCACAGAGCATAGGAGAGAGATGCTTCTTACTCTTTGGGTCCCGTGTGCTCTTCACCGAGTCATGGAAATTAGAATCAGTGCTTCCTGCTAAAATGAATAGTGCAAGTTATCTCTGTGCTTCAGTGGGATGATCAGTTTCCACATATACTTTAGATGTCAAGTATCTGATTTATGAGGATTACAGCCATAAACTCTCCCTCCCTTGTCCTGTATAGCTATACCCCTCTATACTGTTTCTCATGGGGTCTCTGCTTGGACACAAACTCTGATGGGAAACCTACTGCTACACAAGGCAGCCTGTTCCATGAGTGGACAGTTCTGTTATATTTTGTTAAAGGGGTTATAATATTGTTTAGAAATTTTACCACCTCAGAGGTCATATGTGAGTAATATCTCTCCTTTGTATTCATTAACAGTGTTTTATGCAACTTATTTCATGATTGTTTGGGAACTTTATGGAGATCGATTTATATTCTAAGGGACAGTAGAAATTTGTGTTTTTATAGTCTTCTTACTACTTAGTCAGGACTTGACAATAGTGCCAGAATAAATGTTCCTACTTTGTTTTGCTTGGTTAACCTGGTTAGAAATTACCTGGACATGAAGAAGTCTGAAGTGAGGGATCGTATAAAGAACGCTGGAAAATAATATCTGAGCATGGATCTGAGCATCTTTATGTGCCATACAGACACTCATTCTATCACTGATCTGTCCATTCATTCCTTCATTCCACAAATATTCTTTGAGCACCTGAAGCGAGGGGAGCCTCCATCAGCTGCTGGGGTGCTCCCAACAGCAGTGTAAGGTGGGCTTCTGCCCTCTAGAATCTAGGCTGAGAAAAAGCAACGACCACTTCCATAGAAGTAATTTTTTGTGCCGGGTTTTGGATGTAGTGCCTCTCTGAGGGACTCCTTTCTGTTTCTTTAGCACCACCTGAAAAAGCTGGAAGGCCGCCGCCTGGATTACGATTATAAAAAGAAAAGAGTAGGTAAGATACCGGACGAAGAAGTCAGACAAGCGGTAGAAAAATTTGAAGAGTCAAAGGAGTTGGCTGAAAGAAGCATGTTTAATTTTTTAGAAAATGATGTAAGTATTTAAATCAAACAGGAGACATTAATGTAAATGAATAAAACATTGACTGTATGACTATGATCTGCGCATGTTGAAAAGCTCTAAAGCAGAGGTGTCCAATCTTTTGGTTTCCCTGGGCCATATTGGAAGAAGAATTGTCTTGGGCCAGACATAAAATACACTAACAATAGCTAATGAGCTTTAAAAAATTGCAAAAAACTCTCATACTGTTTTTAAGAAAGTTTACAAATTTGTGTTGGGCAACATTCAAAGCTGTCCTGGGCCACATGCGGCCTGTGGGCCACAGGTTGGACAAACTTGCTCTAAAGCCTTGGTTGTTATGCAAGTTTCCAGAATTATCTCCTTTCTCCTACCAGAGATTATTTCAGACATCCAGCAAGCCTTGCTCACATCTTTTTTTGGAGGCAGAGTCTCACTCTGTTGCCCAGGCTGGAGTGCAGTGGTGTGATTGTGACTCACTGCAGCCTTGACCTCACAGGCTCAAGCGATCCTCCTACCTCAGCCTCCTGAGTAGCTGGGACCACACGCATGCCACCAAACCAGGATAATTTTTTGTCAAGATGGGGGTTTCACCCTGCTGCCCAGGCTGGTCGTGAACTCTTGGGTTCAAGCCATCTACCCACCGCAGCCTCAAAAGTGCTGGGATTATAGGCATGAGCCACTACACCCAGCCCCTGACTCATATCTTAAATCTTGAGGAGTCCTGTTTATCCCAGGATTGCTTCAGAGGTTGTCTCTGAAGATTGCGAAGTAGACTGGCTTTTGAATGTGAGGCCATAGCACTTGTGGTTTCACAGGAGAATGGAAAGTCCAGGTCATGTGGTAATTTGCCATTTTGCTAAGACTGAAAAGCAGTCGGCAAGGGAGATGTTTAAGGGAGAGCAGCTGTCATCCCAGCTCTCTGACGCCTTTACCTGTCATAGCGCACATTCAAGACACAAAAGCAGGACCTAAATTTTTCAGCTGTTCCATAGCGGTGCTTGTGGGCCTGGGAATTGTGAAGGTCTCAGGTCTTATCCCTCAGAAATGTCAGTCTTCTATTTGTTTAAGTCAAGTCAAGTGAAATGGAATTAAGGAGGCCCGGTGACTCTTGACCAGGCAACACACAGGTGGGGGCAGCCTCCCTGCTCGGCCTTGAGTTGCAGGGGCCATTGGCACCATGACTGCCTGTCGACCAGCTGCCTCCCTCCTTAGCCTGTGCTTCAGCCTGGGCTCAGCGATGCCAGGAGCCGTCTCAGCACCAGCTTTAGCTTGGGTCCTAATTGTTAAGCTTTTAAACCTGTGGGAACAAGTCAGGAGGTTTATTTATCCTCAAGACCATGCTGTAATTATAGCAGTTGATTCAAGGGTACACTGAAGGCTTACATCTTTTGAGTGAAGTCAAACAAAATGCATTGACCACCGTTTATTTACCGTGGCGATGTGTGGATGTGTGAAGGGATTATGTCCAATAGTGACAAGACATTCATCCCAGAGAATTTATTCTCCCAACTGGAAATGCCAATTTGAAATTTCCCATGCTCATGAAACCACTGAGGCCTGAAAAGTACATTCTACTATATTATTCCTTTTAATTTTTTTTTTTTTTTTTTCACTTTTTTTTTGAGAAGTAGGAGGAGGTGTGGCAGTTTGGTATCTCTGTTTTTCTTTAAATATACAAATTTTCTCTTGAAATTGTCCCTAAGCAACAGCCATTTCGTTTAGTTTCAGATTGCCCTATTGTTTTGAAGTCTTTAGAAAATGTATTTGAAGTGTGACATGTATCAGATACTCCTTGTGGGGCCCTGCTGGCTCTGGGCCCATTCGTGGTTTAAACTCTGAGATTGTGTCTTGTGTGTCAGATGTGCCATCTGACCCATTTGTTCCATTCATTACCTTCATGGGGGAACCATGATGATGAGTTTTTGCAAAGTGCTCGTGAGGGTAGCCTGTCTCAGCCATGCCAGCCTTGCAGTTGACCCAGAAGACCTCAGCTTTCCCCTTAGTATCAGTCAAAAGTCAAAAAGGATTCCTTCATTATAAAAGCTCAGTCATTTGTCCATGTTTTGACAGTGAAATGTATTTTGCCTGTCACAAATGGGCTAAGCCCTCCCACCCTGTGCCGGCAGAAGGAAGAGCTGGTTCCTAGCCCAGGCTCCTCAGGGACCCTGGTGCCGGCCTTGCCCCACCTGGTGGCAGTGTTTTCTCCAAGGCTTCCCATGGGAAGCTGGCCTGTGGGTGAGTGGAGGTTTCCCCTGTTCAGCTCTGGCCTGGATCCTGGGGTCTTTACCTTCACAGGGAGAGGTTCTCTGGCTTCTACTTCTGCTATTGAGGTGGGAGGAGACCAATGTTATGAAACAGAGGGGGGCTGCCCAGGCTGCCTGGGAACTAGGTTCTTCCCTTCCTCCCTCCCCTGTCTCTCCTGCTGTGTGAAGCTGCAGTGGCTACTAGGTGTGCTGTGGCTGCTGGTTCTTGCAGTAATGGTGGTGATAGTGATAAAGACAGTAGTGGTGATGATGGCAGTGACAAGAGCTACCATTCACTGCCGCCCCATGATAATGGGGCTGAGGGGGTGCCGTTGATGGTCCCTATCATGGCGCACTTGCGTTTACCTTTTCTCCTACCCAGGTTAATAGCTGAGGAGACTCAGAAATAATTATGTAGGCTTCAGAAGCCCATCTTCACTCTGCTTGGGATCAACACAAGTTAGATCAGAGGGCAGCACCTCATCCTTTTCCATGTCAGTGTGTCTGTGCCATAGCCAGGTGGTCTGAACGTCCTCTCCTGTTGACCAGGCAAGGTAGAGAAAAATCTCCTCTGGGTCACTCCTTGGACCTGACATGCCAATGCTGATACTGCCTGGTGCTTGGGGACAAACAGAGAATGTGACTTGTTTGGATAAAGAAAAAATGCCAATACATGGTGGATGGGGCATGCGTTGAACCCTTGGCCCTGTGTTTGGCCCATCTCCAACAACCAGGCCAGAGCTGGTGGTCCTGCAGCCCATGGGACTCTGGTTCCTGCCCCCTCTGAGTCACCACCTACATGTCCAACCTTGGTCCCTCAACCTCTTGTTGCTATGTTGCTTCCTTTCCTGGTGGGGAAGCCCTGCATGACAAGCTGTGCTTCAGTATAGCTGGGGAGGGCTGGATTTCCTGGCAGAAACTAAAGATGGCTGGGACCTGTTCTAATTACCATGTCAAACACAGTGGGTCTTCGGCTGCTGCTGCCTGATGGATTGGACGGTGCTTCCACCTGATCTGGTACCCGCTGGAGACAAGGTACAGAAACTGTCAAATGAGTGGCTACAAGGAAAGCCTGGTAGCAGGCAGTGGAGGCCCTGATGCATCCTCCAGACACAAGTGGGACATGCTTCTGTTACTGTGGTGGGAAGTTTTGGGATGTCAGTCACGGCCATTCACCCTTTGGGTTCTGACCAATGGAGGAAGTGACACAAAAGCCAGATTGGAATCAAAGGACAGCTCCTTAACTGATGAGAACACCTGAAAATTGTAAAATACAGACCTTCTGGTCCACTGTGCTGAAGGACATGGCCTGGGCCTAAAGTCCTGATGGCACTTTCTCCTCCTTGCTCCTTTGGTGGATGACAGCCAGCTCTAATGGAGAGCCAGCCTGCCTCACCACCCAGACACAGCCTGAGATGTTGAAACTGGGTGAGGGGAAGCCTTGCCAGCCCAAACCCTGCAAAGCCAGTGACTGCAGCAGAGCAACCCATCCTACTAACTTGGGAGTACCCCCAGCCTCATCTACGGGAGGAGAATGGGGCTGGAGAGAGGACTTAGAAGCATTTGCTCCAAAGAGAAAGCAAATAAGCAGAGAAAGGTGAATGACGGGAAACCCTCTGCGATGGGTGTGCTTGGTGCTCTGGTGCTACCTGCCCATTTCTGTCTGGCACTGACAATTCAGAGACCAAAATCTCACTCTGGGGGAAGAGCTGGTGCCTCCTCCAGCCCTCATGTCTTGTTCTGGCTAAGACACAGTAAAAGCTTCACCAGGGAATACCTCAGAAGAAATTGATTGCCAAAGCTCTGACTGATATGAGGAGAACCCTGACTGGATTCACAGACTTGGTCTCTCCTGGGTCTCCAGGCACAATACTTCCTAGGGTTTTCTGGCCAACAGGCCATTTGCAGGGGTTTCCAGGGTGTGATCATTCATCTGGCCTCACCTCTGCATTCTCCCAGCAGAGAAACAAACTGGGGGAGCCACACAGGATCACACGCCAGCCCCTTGCCCAGAGAGCAGGACTCTCTAGGAAGCCATGTTGGAAGGGAGAGCTTGGGCCTGGGCCCACGATAGAAGTGCAATGAGCTATTCCTGGCCTCAAGTCTAGACCTTGGATCTTCGCAGTTGGCCCACAAGGCCTGAGCTCCTGGAGGGAGAGTAGATGCAGGACCACGAAGCCAGATGACACACGATCTTGTGGCCACTTCACAAACCCACTTTCTTGAGAAATCCAGAGCCCGGAGCCAGGTCCCTACTGCCTTTCATCTCAGTGTCCAGACACCCTGGTTATTAGGGCCAAGTGGGTGCCAACACCGCAATCTCATCAGTTAGACAGATACCACAGGAAGGGGAGGTAGAGGGACATGACGTGCTCACTCTAACATTCCTGGGTAGAAGTTATATCTATTTTCTCATCTGCTTTTGGCAGAACTGGGAATGGGAGAACAAAGAAGAGTCTGCTTTGGCCCCACACTGTAGCCTTTGGTTGTTTTGTGAGTAGGAGCTGGAATGGAGACATTGAGCATCTTTTCACATCTTGTCTGAGGCTGAGCAGCATCGTTATTCTATAGACAGTGATGCAAGCCAGGAGGTCTTTTGGTTCTCCAACTTTCCAGGGATCCAAGAGGGGCAGCCCCGTGACTGATTTCTTGTCAGGCCAGGCTGGGCCTGGCAGGGTTCTGAGAGGTACCCAGGGCAGCCCTCCTCTTGGAGATCAAGTGTGGGAAAGTCAGGAGACTGGTTACCAGCCTTCGTTGTCATTTCTCGGGAACAGCATATCACCCATAGGCTTGTTAACACACTGTCCCCTCTTCTGTCTTTGCAGAGTTTGTTCCTCACAACTTACCATTAGCAAATGTAGGTCTTTGACATTAGCAGAAATCAGAGATATTCCATAGAAGATGCCTATTTCAGTCCAGTGAGCCCAGGTACCTGCAGTACTGGCTCTCTTGGGATACATTCCCCAGCTATGGGATCCTCCCTCCATCCATGGGTTCCCAAGACTAGTGGAATTACTAGATTCCAGATTCTTGGGGTCTTTCCCTTGGTCTAGAGTAGGATTTTCCAAAATCCATTCCTTGGGATGTTAAGTGTGTTTTGCATTAATAATGTCTCTGTGGTCAAATAAGTTTGGGACACCCTGGGTTAAATAAAATGAAACAGTTTTCTTTATCACAAAACTTTTCAGAGTCTTTATTTGATAGTATGAAAGATTAATCTCTAAGCAGTTCCTAAGAGAAAATACAGTTGGCAGTTTACCAAATGTATTTGACCACAGAATTCCATCACATTATTATATTATTACTAATGTTTCAGGGAGTGTAATATGTGGAATAAGACGCATTTGGAAATACTAACTCGTGGAAAGCATACCCAGCACGGAGTGAAATAACTGAATTCTGTTTCTGGTTTTGCTTCTGCTAAGCCTCTGGAAAAATCATGTCACCTGACTGGTATCAGGCAAATTAGCAACTGCATTTGAGAAATTCTTTAGAAGGATAAAGTAGAGAATAAAAATATAAGGGATTATTATCCATGTTATTAATTTAATTGCCTTACTCAAACTTTCTCAGAAACTCTGAATAAAGGCTTTTGCCTCATTGGAAGAGGCATCTGTTTATGACCAGACTGCAAAATTCATGAAAAATTTTCCATAGCTTCTCTGAGGAATCCAGAAAGAGTGGACGTCTTTGATATGATAGAGCAAGAAATCACTGGTTGTATCACAATGTAAATTGAAGATGACCTCTATTGGAAATGCACCTTTTCAGCTGTGAAAGAGAATGGCTTGCCATCTTTCGAAGATGTGCATTTCTTTATTCATGCATGCCAGACACACTTGCATACCCCAGGTCTGGACAGGCATCAGCTGCTCACATCCCAGTTCTCCTCCTGTCCTCACCATGGGCTTCAGGGTGTGCCACTCCCTGCTTACTTACCCGGCTGCTCACCAAGTCCCCTGGTAAATGATTGCTAAAGGGTCAGAGGAGGAAGGTTTCCAGACCTGCTTCTCAGCTACCAGTTTCCACAGTCCTCTTGGAGAGTTGACCTAAGACAGCCTTTGTTACAATATGCAGTCCTTTGAGCCATTCTTCTTTGGGTACAGCCTGAGTCCTTTGCAGTTGGCCCACAAGGCCGGGCTAATGGCTCAGATCTTATGCAAGAGTCCATGGGGTTTCCACAACTCTTAGAAACTTCTAGTATCCTTAGTCCACTATAGTTGGAGACATCTATTCTCTGTTTCCATCCCCAGGATCAAGGTACTCCCATGGCCTCATATGCTGCTAATCCTCCGTTAGTTTTCAGCTAAAGAGAGGTTTGGAATGAAATGCATCCACAGGTGACACTCGTGTGTCACTTGTGGATTGTGCATTGTGCGCAGTCTGTCATGGGAGAGAAACTGAGTTCATTCCTGTTTTGGTGTTACCCCTCAGAAGAGAGTGAGGGGCCCTGGGGTACAGCCAAGTCAGCAATGAAGTCCCCAGGCCCAGCTACATGGGCCCATTGCCCCATGAGCTTTGTTCCTATGTGTCTCCAGGCAACAGCTCCCGTCACCATCAATGGGGGACCCTGGCCAGCACTAATTTCATTGTTAGGTTTTTGCATGGTTAGAGGATGGGCTAAAGCAGCTCTGTATCAGTTTCCTATTGGAGCCATAACAAATGACCACAAACAGTGTAGCTTAAAGCAACACACATCTACCGTCTTCCAGCCTAGAGTCCTAAAATCAAGGTACGGGCAGGGCCACGTTCATTCTGGAGGCTTCAGAGGAAGAAGCTGCTTCTTTGCCTTTTCCAGCTTCTACAGGCCACCTGCATTTCTTGGCTCATTCTTTGCTTCCTCCCTCTTCACAGCCAGCAGCATAGCATCTTCACATATTCTGACCTCTGTTTCCATTGTCACATCTTGTCTGATGTTGGCACTCCTGTCTCCCTCTTAAAGGACATTGTGATTATGTTGAGCCATTCAGACATTCCAAAATAATCTCATTTTAAGATACTTAATAATAACTGCAAAGTCCCTTTTGCTATGTAAAATAATGTATTTGCAGGTTTGGGGAATTAAGACTTGGACATCTTTGCAGGCTCCGTGATTCTGTCTACCTCAGCCCTCTCTGGTTATGATTCCCTGACTCTCCCAGGTAGCTTCACAGCCCTCACTCCATGCATTTGTCATCCACCAAGGCCTGTGCCTCCTTGACCTCTAACTTACATGGAAGTCTGCTTGCATGATGAGTTTCTCACTTCAAGCATCAGCTGAGTGTGAGCCCATCTGTAGTAGCTAGTGTGCTTCACTTTCAGAAAAGGGAGTGGATTCTCTGGAAATCCAGTTCCTTGGCATATATCGTATGAACATTTCCATGGGTGAGGTCACACTTTGCTCTCAAGGTGGCACCAGCAAAGTGGCAGCCTAGGTCTCAACCCAGAAGTGGAATTAAGCCTTTCTCTCTATCCCAGGTGACATTCTCTGATTCAACAGATGGACTGTTAAAATTCCAACAATGGAAGAAATGTTTACCTTCTGGTCAGGTTTTGGCTCTTGCTAGGCCTGAGTTTGTTGCTTTATCTTGGTTCTGCCTGTCTAGGTATTTATTTCTAGTTGTGGTTTGGGAGGCTGAGTCCAACTCTGTTGGTCCCCATGGTCCCCAGCACACAGCTCAATGCTCAGGACCTGGGGGACAGCTGGAAGCTTACATTTTCTGGAATCAAGAGGAAAATGATCTACTCGTGGCCTGGTCTCCACTGTCAACAAGAGAGACTTATAACCTAGTAACCACCCCTTCAGGACTTGTCCTGAACACCTACTAGGTGCAGGCATTGGGCAGTGTTGCCGTTGTCTCCCAAGGTTTAAGGGTTTTCAGGATTCATTTCCTTCCCAAAGTCAGCCACCCAATGAGCAGTTACAAATGTGTCTCTAGATTACATCGGCTTGTTTTTTAGCCACAGCAGAGAGGATAGCTTGTAATCCCCCTCAGCCCCTTCCGGTTCCCCAATCTGGAATATGTTTCAAGAAATATTCATTTAGCTTTCACTATTTCTTTAAAAATTATAAAACGTAGGCATTTTAAAAAGTGGGTTATAAGATAGGACAAATAAATTTTACTAAAGGCAGAGAGGCGTGGCATAGATTTTACCAAGCACACCATTCTAGCTCTATAAGGAAGAAAAATTATTTCTATAGCAAATTCTACTATGATTGTGCTAGGCCATGGCGCTGGACTTACTTAAAAATACGTGTAAAAGCCAAAGGTGAAATTTAAGAAGTCCTAGGATTTGGTAGGGGCCAGGCTGTCTTTGTTTTGTTTATTGGGTTTTTGGAAATTTAAGGCTAGGCTTGTTGCTTTTCCAGCCACAGAGCTTGGTAAAGTAAATGAAACCCGACAGGATTTCATTGTTCAGATGCTGATCACAGCTTGGCACACATGGAATTCCATGTATATCTTACATGCATATTGAGCTGTGTTTAAAATAGCATAAGTGGGTAAGAAAAATTTAAGCACAGACAACTAAGGAATGATTTGCAACTACAAATGAAAGTAGCTTGGATCTTTGAAGGCTGACAAATCCATGGTTGGTTAGGCAGGGTGAGATTGTGTAAATGAATAAGCAAGCAGACTTTGCTCTAAAGCTGAGTAAAAATGAAGTGTGGAAATGACGCATAGGCATTGGGGAAGCCTGGGAAGGGTAGGATTGATTTTATGTCTCTGTCCAGCTCTAGAGTTGATTGGATTCATGCTGGGGGAGACCTGTCACTTCAGCCCTCTGAGGCTTGCCTCTGGGGCTTCCAGAATTAAGCTTAATCTCTTTCCTGTAGGAGCCCCTCGGTTATGTGGGGGTTCAGGAAAGCTCTCAGGCCTTCCTTGGTTTGCTCTTCCTCAAATTATACAGCCCCATATCATACAGGCTTTTCTTATAAGACCCAGCTTAAAAAAATTCATTGTAAATGGGTCACTAATTTCATGAATGTCTTGATTTGTGGGAAGCAGAGATGCCAGTGTCTTTATAGTTCATTCCCTTTAGCTCCATGTTTCAGAGAAATTACGTTGAGTGAATAGCAACAAAAAGCATATAGGGGACAGGAAAGTCTTGGCCCAGGGGCACATGTTGCTCACCGCCCCCTTTCTTATCTGTTTAATTTACTGTACTTAACTGTTTAATTTACTTAATATCTTGATTTGGCTTAGCTAGAAAGTGCAGGTAGAAACACTTCACTAAGTAGGCAGTTCCTTTGCTAAACGTTGGCTTCATTTATAACTGGAAGAACTTTATATCTCTGTTTTCAGATCCATGAACTTTATAGCATAGAAAATCTGAGAAAAGTCATCATCTAATTGGAAAAACAGGCATTTTTACTGAGTTAAATTCAAAATCACAAATAATTTGAACATGTTTTTCCAGCATGTATAGCTCCATACCATGACCTGTGTGATTACTATACAGAGCTCCTAGATGAAATTAAATGAAATGGACCAGAGCCGAGGCAGACGCTTCCCTGCCAAGCTGGGTCTTTGTTGCTGGTCTCCTCTCTCTCTGGATGTTATACAGACTCTGGTCTCCATGGAGTAATTTTCCACTTCTGCTGCAGGTAGAACAAGTCAGCCAGTTGGCCGTGTTCATAGAGGCTGCATTAGACTATCACAAACAGTCCACAGAGATTCTGCAGGAGCTGCAGAGCAAGCTACAGATGCGGTAAGCGCCTCCATGTTTCTTACCAGCCAAGGGCTATGGAGGTGACATCTACTGAAATCTATCTATCTGTCTCTCTGTCTGTGTGTCTGTCTCTCCATCTCTCCATCTGCCCCTTCCCCTGCCTCATTCTGTTTTGAATTTTCTTTCACTGGCTTTCATGGTTGGGTGTGGATGGGACTGTGATAATAAGTACTGGCTTTGGCCAATAGGATAGAACTGGGAAGAGGGATCTGGCAGCTTTTCTCTTTTTTATTTTCATTAAATCCCTTTTATTGTAACCTGTGTTTAGGGCAACTAACCAAGTTGCTCCCCATCCTTGGACATCAACCCCTCCAAAACTATCCTGGCTTCACTGCTAATTTGATGAGAGTTTAGCTCCCCATTTACAAAGGGATAGAAAACATCTAGAGCTATGGAAAAAAGTGAGATGATGTATGGAAAATATGTAAATATCTGTTAAAAAAGATATGTTTTCACTTCACCAGTATGAATTTCAGGCTGTGTTCATAATATTGACAGGTATTGAAAGTGTCAGAAGTATCTTCTGAACAATTAAAGAAAGATTTCTATGTTCCTTGTGACTTTAATCATAGATGTAGTCTATACATTTCTGAAAATTAGTAATATCATATATAGTATGCATGGCAACTCTATTTATTAAAATATTGGGGTAAAAATACCCTATTTTTTTAACCAGGTTTGATAACAGAAAATTGTTTTGTACATGATTATGGTAATGCGTAAATTTGGAGGAATTTTTACTTAAATCAATGATATAATTACATAGGGAAGACAAAGGTGTGTTCAGATCCAGAAGCGTCCACTTCTGCAGGCAGATAGTTCACCTGTTACTCACAGGAGTGTATTTTCATCATTCTATCGTAATCTATAAGAGCAGAGTGAGGGAAAAGGCAGCTCTCATCACTAGTTGCTGACCACGTCCCAGCACTTGCTGGATGCCTCAGAGACTTGATGAAGACAATTAGCCTTTTTTTTTTTTTTTTTTTTTTTGAGATGGAGTCTCACTCTGTTGACCAGGCTGGAGTGCAGCAGTGCAATCTCAGCTCACTGCAACCCCCATCTCCCAGGTTCATGTGATTCTCCTGCCTCAGCCTCCCAAGTAGCTGGGATTACACACGCTTGCCACCATACCTGGCTAATTTTTATATTTTTAGTAGAGATGAGGTTTCACCATGTTGGCCAGGTTGGTGTCGAACTCCTGACCTCAGGTGATCTGCCCACCTTAGCTTCCCGGAGTGCTGGGATTACAGGAATGAGCCACCATGCCTGGCCCAATTAGTCTTCCTCAGGATGAATTTCACTCACAAGCTTAAATACAGAGTTGACAAACTATATTTGTGATAACACCTCCACAACTTTGGGCTACTCAAGAGTCAGTGTGTAAAAATTGTGCCCTTCATGACCACTGGCTGTAACTTAAGTTCCTATGCTCATCAAGGCAGAGAGAAGGTGTGTTTGGAAAGCTTTCCACATTAGATGTCTGGCTCATCTTATGATGTGTGTTACAGAATATCAGCTGCATCCAGTGTCCCCAGACGAGAATACAAGCCAAGGCCCGTGAAAAGGAGTTCTAGTGAGGTCAATGGTGTCTCCACCACCTCTGTCGCAAAGACGACAGGTAAGTTGCTGAGTGCGCCTTTAGTAAAGCACTTCTAGAAACACTGATTTACCGCTTGTTCCCGGGTCAGTGAATACACACAGACCCTGGATGTCTTTCTTTGGTTGTTTGGTAAATCCCCTTTCCCCCAAAAGTACCCCCTTTTTCTGTTCCCTGGGGAAGAATTCTATCACTTGTATAATATGGCATTCAGAACCAGGCCATAGAAGCATTATTGCTGCATCATCCTTTATATTTAATTTTTTAACTCTTTGAAAACATTTTCTTTAAGTTGAAATTAGCATTTTTGAGCAATTGCTTTATGCGAGATACTGTCTTAAGTGCTGCATCATTATTTTTTTATTAAACAAGTGACACAAATATGTTTTTTGTAAAATAAAAAAGTTTAATGGTATAAGTCATTCTATAATCTCTTGTGATCACCCACTCCATCCCAGTTCCCTTCCTAGATGTAGCCACTGTTAAAAATTTGGCCTAACTATTATCATATCTATTAATGTACATAGATATACACATAAACACAACATTTTAGATTTTTTTTCTGCTTTTTTTTTTTTTTTTTCTTTTTTGAGACAAGGCCTTGCTCTGTCACCCAGGCTGTAGTGCAATGGCACAAACATGGCTCAGTGCAGCCTTGACCTCTTGGCCTCAAGCAGTCCTCCTGCCTCAGCCTCACGTGTAGCTGGAACTACAGGTGCATGTGACCATGCCAGGCTAATTTTTAAATTATTTGTAGAGACAAGGTGTCACTTTGTTGCCCAGGCTGGTCTGTAACTCCTGGGCTCGAGCAATCCTTCCGCATCGGCCTTCTGAAGTACTGGGATTACAGGCATGAGCCACTGTACCTAGCCTTTTTTCTGTTTTTTAAATGCAAGATCATACTAGGCATATTGTTTTGCAGTTTGCTTTTTAAAAATGTATCAATTTCTTGGAGTTATTTCCATATCATGTATATAGATCTATCCCACTATTTTTAACAGCTTCAGAGTTTTCCCTTATACCATTTCCCTGTTGGTGGACATTAAGGTTGTTTCCAGCTAGTTGCTACAGTGACTGTCCTTTATCCACTGTGCTGGCTACACTACTATTAAAGTAAGAACACCTGCTTGTGCACACACATGCCAGTAGACTTCCATTTCTGCGAAGCACTCATGGGAAAAAAGTGATATCCAGTCTTAATTTGCATTTCCATGATTCTTAGTGAGGGTGAACTTTCTTTTCTGTATTTTAATTTGTATTTCCTTGTGTCAGAATTGTCTGTTTATGTCATTTATCTGTGTTTTTTGGGGGGTAGTTTGCTTTGTCTTATCGTTTTCTAGGAGTTCTTTCCATATGAGAATATTAATAATTTTTTTCCTAGTTTGTCATTTATCTTTAAACTTTGCTTATGGAGTGCGTTGTTTCTTTGTTGCTTTTGCTATTGCTTGCTTTGTTTAGTTTTGCTTTGAGTATACAGAAGCTTTTATTTTGATGTGGTCAAATGTATCTATCTTTTGCTTACGACTTTTACATTTTGTGCCCTGTTGTGAAAAGTCTCCCTATCCCCAAAGTTATTCTTTTACAGTTTTCTACTACTTTGAATAATCTTTTCTTAATATTTAGATCTTTATTATAAGGATTTATTTTTGTAAATGAACAGAACTCCCAAACTATCTTTCAGAGCTGTGCTACTGTTTCACTTTCCCACCAGCATGTATTAGTGATCCAAATCCCTGCCAGCATTTGGTGGTGTCACTATTTTTTATTTTAGCCACTTTGATAGGTGTGTAGCGAATCTTACTGTGGGTTTAATTTGCATTTCCTTACTGACTAATGATGTTGAATATCTTTTCATGTGTATATTTGCCATCTGTGTATCCTCTTTGGTGAAATGTTTCTTCATGTCTTTTGTCCAGTTTCTAATTGGATTGTTTAGGTTTTTACCATTGAGCCTTAAGAATTCTTGATTTATTCTAAATACAAGTTCTTTCACATACATGTGATTTGTAAATATATTCTCTCTGTAGCTTATCTTTTTATCCTCTTAACAAGGTCTTTCACAGATCAAAATTTTTAATTCTTATGAAGTCCAGTGTATTCAGTTTTACTTTAATAGATTGTGTGAAGTCTAGGAATTCTTTGCCTAGCCCTAAATCCTAAAGATTTTCATTCATTCATTCACTTATGACAGACTCTCTTTTTATAGCCCTGGCTGGAGTAGAGTGGTGCAATCTTGGCTCATTGCAACCTTTGCTTCCTGGGTTCAAGCGATTCTCCTGCCTAAGTCTCCCGAGTAGCTGGGACTATAGGTGCACACCACAATACCCGGCGAACTTTTGTATTTTTAATAGAGATAGTTTCTCCATTTTGGCCAGGCTGGTCTCGAACTCCTGACCTCAAATGATCTGGCTGCCTTGGCCTCCCAAAGTGCTGGGATTACAGGTATGAGCTACTATGCCTGGCCTCTCCTGTATTTTTTCTTAAGTTCATGATCCACTTTGAGTTAATTTTTGTATAAATGTGAGACTTAAGTTGAGATTAATTTATTTTGCCTATGGATGTCCAGTTGCCCTTTCAAACACACATTGCTCATATAAGCTGCACAGTCTGAATTTTCTTCCAACCCTATTGCTATCCTTAAAGGTTTCTTTTTTTCATTTAAAAACAAAAATTGTCAGAGTAATAAGTGTATGTAGTTTAAAAAGAAAATGGTAATATATGTATGTGGTTTTAAAAAGGCAAACGTAGTTACCTCTATCTCTCTATGAAAACATGGGCAGGACCCATGAATTTTCTCGTTATTAAAACTAAGAATTATTAGAATATATGTGTATATAGTTTAAAAGAACATGGTGCAAGCTTTTTTTTGGTGAGAAATGGCAGTTTCCCCTTCAGCTCCTCTCCCAGTGCTTATTTTCTGCTCTCAGAGGAAACACTTTAAAATCTTTTATGTATTTATTTGGTCCTTAACTTCATTGTGCTTGTTTTTTACTATTTCTTGATTTTTCAGTTTTGGATAAATGTATTGATTTCCTGATATGGAAAGTAAGGGCTTAGCTTCCTAACCCTTGGTCTTCCATATACTTCTCCCTCCCTTCACCCTTCCAATTTACTTATAATCAATATTTTTGTTAAATATTCATTGTGTAACCATCACTTCCACCATATGGGACTCTTAAAATGCCCTCCTTCCCTTTTTTCCCTGCTGTTATTTTAAATTGCCTACTTATGGATGAAAATATTAGCAGGCTCCATGACTTTTCTGACTACTTTTGGGTCACATAGTTCTCCAGTCACTTGAGTGTGTAAGTGCAGGCTCGTGCAGTAGTCAGAATGCTAAGACCCAGGTCATAGTCTAACCTATAATCTTGATTTAATGCTTGGCTTTCACTCCTCCCCAAGCTCTGGCCTGTTGCAGTGGGAACATTGGTGTCAGGGAAGAGGTTGTATTTGGCTTTTTCTCTTTCTCCATCTACGCTTTCTGTTCTTAAGTCCCCAGAGAATATATCTTAAGCTCGCTGAGGACTCATTTAAAAGGCTTTCTCTCTTGATTTGGCATGAAATGGAAAGATCACAACACATCCTGCCTCCTCCACACTCTCTCCAAACATTTTTCTAAAAATCCTTTTTAATCTCCATCTTCTGACCTATTTATGCCATAGATGTAGGCTGGGATTAAAAGTCATAAAACTAGTTTCCCTCATCTCTTCTGTTTTCATTTGTTTCCAAATCCTGCATAAGTTGTCTTCTGCACATCTGTTAAATAACAAAACAAAATAAAACAAAACAAAAACCAGTCTGGGGCCTCATCCAAAACTTCCATTTTTACATCCTCTAACACTTACTTACAATATCATGAGCACAGAAATAATATTCATAGCACTATCACTTAGTGTACTATCGCTGCATTTCTATTCTTATGCAGTTGTTGTCTTGATGACTGTAGCTTTATAAGTTTTGAGATGAGGTCCTGTTAGTCCTCTAACTTTGGTCTTCATTTTAAAAGTTGTTTGGCTATCCTAGTTCCTTTGCATTTTCATGTGAGTTTTAGAGATCACATTTTCAATGTTTAAAAAAAAATCCTGCTCAGATTTTTATTTGGATTGGGCTGAATCTATAAATCAATTTAAGGGGAATTGATAGCTTAACAAAATTGAGTGTTCCAGTCTTGAACACAATCTATTTTTTTCCCATTTATTTAGGTCTTCTTGAATTTCTCTCAGCAATGTTTCACTGTTTTTAGAATATATATAGACCTTTTAAAATTTTTTCATCAATCTCTAAGTATTTTATCTTTATGCAATTATAAACAGCACTTTAATAAAATTTCCATTTCTAAATTTTTGTTTCTAGTATTCATAATATTCCATTGGTTTTTGTATATTGATCTTGTATCCTGCCATGTTGTTAAATTTACATCTTAGTTCTGGTGGTTTTTTAACAGACTCCTTAGTTTCTTTATATAGATGTTCATGTCATCTATAAATGAAGACAGTTTTACTGGATATCTGGATGCCTTTGTTTTTCTTGCTTTTTTTCACTTGCTAGAATATGTTGAATACAAAGGATTAGAGTGGACATCCTTGCTTTGTCTCTGATTTTAGGGGAGAAGCATTCAGTACTTCATAATTAAGGATGATCTTAGCTGTAGGTTTTTCACAGTTTTTTTTTTTTTTTCCTTTTTTTTTTAAAGCCAGGGTCTTGCCCTGTTCCCCGGGCTGGAGTGCAGTGGCGCAGTCATGGCTTGTTGCAGCCTCAACCTGTCAGGGTCAAAAGATCTTCCCACATTCGGCCCTGAGTAGCTGGCTACAGGCACACACCACCAATCCTGGCTAATTTTTGTATTTTTTGTAGAGATGGGATTTTGCCCTGTTGTCTAGGCTGGTCATGAATTGCTGGGCTCAAGTGATCCACCTGCCTTGGCCTTCCAAAATGTTGGGATTACAGGCGTGGAGCCACCAGGCCTGGCTTTCATAGATTTTAAAAATCAGAGTGAGGGAGTTCCCTTCTAGTCATAAATA